TGACACAGCGAAGACGAAAGCTTTAGCACAGTAACTTTCATCTTGACTCCGCAAGATTTCCAGCACTCACATTTATACATTTTTGACAGGATGCTTCCTAAATGAAGCATTTCCCTTCTGGAGAACTACACCCACATAGATTTCATTTTTCCTGATGTCTATCAATATCATGAACTTTATTAACAAATTCAAATTCAAAAACAATCTCAATTCCAGAAAGCTGTCCAAGTTAGTTCTTGCTTATTTCTTACATATGAGGATATCTACAAAAACACAGATGCTCAACAATGGATTTTAATGGATGTGTGTATTTGTTTATATAGATGTATCCATTTCATACCAAGACAGATTAGCAGATTAGAGACAAAATAAAACGAAGGAGCTCTTTAAGAAGAATTTGAGCTCTGATTGTAGGGATCAGTGCAATGGATTTAACTCACAGTTTCAGAATTTCTCATAGCATAATATTATAATAAAGTCTTACTGGCTGTCTTTTACATTACTGCAAACAGAATAAACAACTTTCTGTTCTTTATAGACATCTGATGCCAATCTTTTGCAATGAAATTGCAATAACTAAATGTATATCAAAGATGCTTATTTTGGCCCCTACGCCTCTGTATAGATTTTAATTCAAAAGTCCCAATGCCATAAAACTCGAGACTTGAACATGGAACAACGGCAGGATATGATCAGCTTTCTCCATATAAGACATACAAATATTTAACAGCCTTGCAAAATTGCAATGACAATTTATCAGCCTAGGAAGACTATCTATTTATCCACCCTTTACCCTGAGGAATGATAGCACTTAAAAAAAGAAAAAAAAAGCCTACTTTAAGCAGGTAAAATTTGGAAAGTCAAGTACTGAAATGTGCGCTTGGTTGTGGGTATAACGCATGAAGAAGGGGCTGAATTCAAATCTTGAATGCAAAACTCCATTCTACGCTAAGGAACAAGTCTAACTTTGTAGTACCATAAATGTGTTTCTACCCTTCTGTTTGCATTTACTGATAGGAGCGTACTCCTGTAAGAAAAAATCCAGTGGCAACTCACCAGATTTTTAACTATAATTATATACACACACACATACCTCCCCCCCTCCCCCAGATATATAGCGACTATAATGCAGGAAGCATAATCTTTACAAATTCTATTTATCTGTGCATTGTCGTTTCACTTAATTTTGCAACAATACTGATGAAAAATTACTACACCTTGTTCAAATCAGCAGAGAATGTATTAACAGAAATACCTCTTTTCTTTTTTTCTTTCTCTCAGTAGGCAGCTTATTAAAAACTTGCATTAAATAATCGGAAATTTATTTCAAGTAGTGAAATGTTGTAATATTTCTAAGTTTTGGAAGAATCTGTCCGGAAGAAACTAAAGTCTGGTTTTGAAGAAATTCAATAGGCAAGCTGCTTAGAAATCCATTGCTACATATCTAAATCAGGAATTGAAAAAAAAAGAAAAAGATTTACAGATCTGATTCCATTTTGTTTCCTTTATAAGATCCTGTCTTCTGTGCTGGAACTCTAATTTACTCCAGTGCTTCACACAGACAGCTTGTTCTATTATGCTCATAAATCATAAATTTAAACATTAAATATTGCTTCTGATAGCTAACTGAAGGACAGACCATTCTTATCCCTACAGCTGTGTACAGATCACATCCTCCAAAGCTTAGCATGCCCTACTAGGAACATTACAGAACAACAGGACTGAGAGGCTACTCCACGCTTTTTCTCTGAGGCAAGTTTAAGTACACTTGTATCATCCCTGACAGGTATTTTTTGAACTATTTTTGAAAACCTTTAATGAAGGAGATTTCAGAACCTTCCTTATCCAAGCTTATGGGTACAGAAATTTCCCCTTGATGTCCAATTGAAACATTTTCTGACTGCTTCAGTTTACTTTTGTGTCCAATATGCAAATCAGAGTCCTTAGACATTTGCATCACATACGCTTAAAGGAAGAGGCAAATACAAAAGCTCATGTTTAAAGGCATTTACATACCTATCCCTGCAGATAGGCACTAGTAGCATGATGAAATACATGGGAGATGCTGAACAAGTCAATTTCAGCGGGAGGTGGCTGGATGCACCAGGGCTCTTCCCCACTAAAACAAAGAAACAGGGGAGAAATTGAGCCTCTGTACTGCCCAGTGTGCTTCTCAGCACTTCTCTTGGGACACGGCAGCTAGGTACTGGTTTGTAATGTGTCCTAAAGCTTGTGTCGTCAAATGTTATCGTACTGAAATTCACAGGGAGCTAGGGAAATCAGAAAAAGCTACGTCTTTAAATATCTTGGGAGCCCAGGCTGTAGTACTTAAAACCTTCCCTTTCCTCAACAGTTCCGCATCCTACCATCATTCCCTCTGGGACTCTCCCAATGAACTCAGAAGGATTTCTGTGCATACATGGACCAATGTCTACATTATTTACCATTAAAAAAAAAAAAAAAAAAGAAAATAAGTGAGTATGTTTATCACATACACTGTTCATGGAGAGAGTTCAGAAATGAATGACAGGGTATGATACGGTTAAGTTTTTCAGAAAAAATGGCATGCAAAATGTGAAGGCAGTTTCAGTAAATAAAACCACTTCAACTGTCCATGACATAGAAAGGAAAAACATGTCCTTTTCCGCCCAAAGACTGAAAACAACCTTAATTTACAGTATATGTCTAACATGAAAGAGATACTTGGAAATAAAGAAAAACCAGTTCTAAGAAGGGCAAGGACTTTCTTGCTTTAAAAGCAGAAACAAGAATTTAAGAAACTCCTTTAAATGAAATATTTGTGACAAATTTCATTGCTTTTCTTCATAAAATTAACAAAGCCTGCAGGTGACTAAAAGTCCCGCTCCCTACAGCTAGAGAAACAATTCACTGTTGTGTTTGCTCCAATCAATAGCTGTTGTTGGTGCTTTTTTTTGATTGTGCTTTGTCTAATATATACATTTTTAAAAGGATCCCACAAAATATTTTGCAGTTATACAAATGTGCTAGACGTCCACATTAAAAGTGTTTAACAAGCATATTTTTTTGTTCAGCGTATTAAATTAACAACTTCAGGGCTCGGTCCAGTAGCTGTTTGTACAGAGAGCTCTTTGATCAGGAGTCTTGTTTGGATCCATAGCAGGATGGTTTCCATACAGATGATTTATATACTTCTATCTGACAGAAACTGTCATTATAAACAAACATAAACAAACAAACAAAAGGAAGAAACACAAACGCTATTAGGACATAGCAGTGGCTAAATTCAGCTTCTCACACATTCGTCCTGTGGCAGCATTGGTAGGGATATCAGAATTTCTGTATAACGGCATGATCCAAATTCCACTGCAATCAATGAGAGGTTTTCTCTTGTCTTACTCAATATTGAACCATTGCTAGGAATTTGTTCAAATTTGGCTAGACGTTGGTTGATAACACAGTGTTCTCTCATTTGTTTTCAATATTTGACATATTAAGATACAGTGGGGAAAAAAACACAACACAAAAAGGAAAAAAAAAGAAAAAAACATTTTACTGGATTTTTACATTTAGTAAATGGTACTTAAACTCCATGGACATGAAGGTAATTTTAAACTTTACCTTTGAAATTTTACCTTTTTCCATATTTCATAGAAAAGAAACGCTCTAAGATACCGTTTCAGACCACAGAATTATTACAGAACATAAAGATTATATGCAAGGGCTTAATCCTTTTCCCAACAAAGATGGTAGCCAACCCCATTTTAACTCCAATGGGAGAGGGGTCAGCTGAAAATGTGCCATGTTCCTAATTTCAAATCTCCTTTGTGATAAAGAGTCAATAGTTTGGCATATACTTTGCCTTTGTAATTTGAATTCTATCGACAACTATTCCTAGCCACAAGAGAAATATTTTTAGGCAATATATTTGTATAGTTTCACAAAACTATGTCAGAGAGAGATGTGTGGGTGTTTGTGTGTGTGTATGTACGTATGTATGTATGCATACTTATGAGTTTGGGATGATTTTCTTAAAATACTTAACTTCACTTACATTATATCTTACATTGCAAAATGTACAGACACCCAGTGTTCTTTTTAACAACATATACAGGTGAGTTTATAGAGCCTTATAAAAGATTTTGTGATTCCAAATTAAAAACCATAGAAATATAATCAAAATAATGGACAGTGATTTATACCTCTGATAGTACATAGCGCTCATTCTGGTAATATTGACAGCTGCATCTTTGGCATTGAAAATTCATTACAACTTTTAGACAAAATGTTGTTGCTTACAGCCTTTTTTTTTTAAACAAGAAAAACAGGATTGACCAAAATACGAATATTGGGGAAGTACTATTAAAGGTTTATTTTGTTTTTGTTTTTAGCAAGGATAGCTTAGGAACCCTGAATTACCTTCTCACTTTAGTGTATGGTGTAGACTGTATGAATCCATTTAAAAATCAACTAAGTTGTACCACGTTTTTCGGAAAATTATATATAATATAATATATATATATTTTATATTTATTTAGAAGCTTTGAAATAGTACAGTAAACACTTTGCAACACGGTGTATAAACTACAGAATGTCTTTGATAATTTTGTGGGTCTTCAGATTAACAACATTTTTATGACCCACAGGTGAAAAGAACATGATCACAATCTCTCTTGTAAAGTTGGAATAGTTTGGGGAACACTTGATCACACAAAAATAATATAAAACAGTCAAGTTTAAAACAGTGATATTGCATTTATAATGCACATTTCTTTTATCTGTACGATTGGCTTCTTGTGGTGAATATAAACATCTAAAGGGCTCAGTGACATTTTGGAGAGAGAAAGATATATAGTGCTGTAAACAGGCACACACTGATCAGAGAGGCAAGATCAGTTGCCTCTGAAGTTTCTACAGTTCTACACATTTCAACTCATTTCTCAGGCCTGCTGAGAGCAATTAGGTCCTATTGTTGGCCATGATGTCTCCAACAGCACACAAATCCTTCAGTTACACAGAACTGGATGGCCAAGATAATGAAGTTGAAAGTTGATGCTTTTTGTTGGTCGACTTTTGTGCAAATCATGCTGCTTCAGGTAAGTCCTGTAGAAGTGACTAGCATATCCTTTTCCGTGCTGCAGGAAAGAAAGAAAGACACTTCTGAGAGAAAAAAAAAAAATCAGTCTCCAACAGTTCTTAGGTTTAGCATTTCTTAGAGCGTAGAGAAACAAGCAAAACTTGTCACAGGCTGTCGCTTAAAATTCCCATTGTAGCAAACAGTTTAATGTTGATTCACTTTTCAGAGAAGAGTCTTTTTGAGGCTTGATAGCCTGAAAACCAAACTTCACATGCTGGTTTATTATTCTGTCTAACATGTCATGGCAAGTATTCCAATGTGCCTATACAGAATCAGTATAAGAACAAGGCAAATAGTCAGACTTGCAGGTTCAATATTACTGGAACTTCCAAGCCTATTTTTTCCTAGTTCAGCTTGTTATTTGCAGCAAGATCTAGAATCCCCCAAAGATTCAGAAGCCGGTTTTCCTTCTCTTTCAAAGTGAACCATTATCCTCATCACCAAATGACCCTTTAGTCTGGTTTGACAGAGACAAAAAAATGGTGCATTAGTGCTACAATTCAAATTTTAGCATTTACTGTCAGGCTGGAAATTAACTCGTGTTACACAGATGAAGAAGGTCAATGCATTAGCAAACCCATATCCTAATCCACCAGCTGTGGTAGCTATATTACCTCAAGACACTGGCTATTTTAGCTGTAATTGGGAGCAAAGGTAACAAATGATTTGTACTAGCATTCAGGAAGACCCTGGGTTAAATTCTGATCTCAGTCACACATGAAAGTTGAGACAAGGAACTAACTCACTTGCTGAAGTATTATTATTATCATGGTCATCATTATCATTGTTGTTTAGTAAAGCTTTTTAATGATAAAATCAGGTTTTACCTTAGCTCCAAATCAACTAAATCCCTACCTGAAATTCAGTATATTTCTGTGCATGAAGAGTTACAACTAAAACAAAAAGGAATCTTAACTTTAGAATGAATCTTTGAATCAAGCCATCCATAGATACATGTTGATGCTTGCATGCTGACACACAAACACATCCAGTCTCCGTTCCATTTAACATAAATGTATATATTAGCCAGTCTTATTTGCTATATGTATTCACTGGTAAACATATTAAATGTATTTACGGTATCACAGGGAAGTTAGATTACTTACAGGAAAATGTTAACGGGAGTGTTGTATGTTCGTCTGATCTAGCCTGCCTATGCCGTAGGATACCCGCAGGAAAATGTGAAACACGTTTATGTATAAGCTATCTGTGCAACATACGGACAATTGCCAGACGTGTTATTAACATTAAAACTAAAACATCTAGTATATTATGTTTCGGATATTTCAATTCTGTAGCAAATTAGGAGCAGAATTAGAAAGGATTTTTGGAAGCTTCCGCAAGATATTTTTTTAACATTGTAGTTAAGATTAGTGAGATCAGGATCTTGATGATGTTTTGATGCAGTATATGATGAGACCAATCAAGTTTCTAGGTATCTTTTAAGATATCTTTTTAAATATTGCAAGAAACAATCATTCCAATAATAGTAATAACAAGACTTATATTTGATCTTCAAAACTTTTTTCCAACAGTTCACTAATAATTTCAATTCTCTTGTAAAGATGTAAGTACAGTAGTCTAGATTGCTGTCTGCCATTGAGGAACTCATGCTGCAGTACAGACATAGCAGGACTTTCATGGGAGAAAACGATACAGATATGCAGCTGGGGCAACTGCTGCTTTCGTGCAGCACTACGGTCCTTCTGCTCCTGTCTGACACAGCGCATTGATGGTGTTGATGTGGCACTTGAGGTGCACAGCAAAATCTGTTTATGATATTTGCTCAGATAATACAGAGATTGAGTTACTGGCTGCGTCTAGTCTCTCGCCACATAAATTAGTGCATTTTTTAATTTTTAAACTTCAGTTCATATGCTTATATTACAAAACAATCGGGCCATTTAATAGCAATAACTAAATGTTACACATCAGGGTGCAGAACACCTGCAACGCTCCCCACCTACAACAATCCTTGTCCCAAACCCTGAAGTATCCTCTGCCAACACATAAAATGCATTGGATTTCAAAGGCAACTTTTGTCCTCCATGACGGGTTTTCTCTGTATTTGCACAGAAATCTATGTGCAAGCAAATCTCTCCATGTCTATACCTGTTTCCGTCTTTTTACAGATGGGGAATATAAATCAGAGAGGTTAAATGGAAAGGAGGATGGACTTAGCTTAAGACAGAGGGCAATGAAAGTTCTGACATCTGTTTCTGGCTCTGTGTGTGTGCATGCATGTGTGTTCATAAATAAACTTTAATAAGAAACACTAAGCCTCTCTGTATCACAATTTCTCCATCTGTAAAATGGGAATAATATTGCTTACCTATCTCCTAGAGGTGCAGGAAGGTTTAAATCACTATTCTTTATAATCCACTTTGAGATCCAGAGATGGCAAGTGCTATAGAAATGGAAGTATCAGAGTCAGTGTAAGAGCTGGAACAAGAACACCATAATTTCTGGTGCCTAATATCTCCTCTGAGATCACAGCTCTCTCCTTCATCCCTATTTTATCTCCTGTTTCAAACTGTCAAACTAGTGCATAGGGAAGCTTCAAGTCTATGTGAGTACAGGTATTAGTTAGAAAGAGGGATTTAATAATAAGCAGTTTCATAATTCTGTTAATGTAATTCTACTATTTGTACATAAATTCTAATAGTGTTTGAGGCGAACAAGATGATTAAATAATCACAAGTATTCCAATTAAAATTCTTAGGGTACACGATTTGTGCTGTACTGACTATTGATCCTTCCCCAAAGACCATAACAAAGATTTTGAGTGTTACAGTAAGAGTGCTCAATGCATAAAATTTATATGGAATTGCAATAAAAACTGGAAATAAAAAACAGCAAGAGTTTATTAAGATTCATTTGTTCCTCAGTACACATTAGTAAGCCTCCCGTTCACAGTGAGCTAGTTCTGTGTAGACTGACGAGAGAAGACATGTAAAGACATCAGTGGTAGATGAACAGAAAAAGAAATGAAAAACACTAACAGAGGAAACAGAAAGGAGAAAATAAAGTATGCAATGATTATTTCTAGCTTATGAATCAGAAATGAACAGAAAATACTGTATAGTCTCTTTAATAAAGCTTCCTTTCACCCTGTTGTGAATCATCCTATTGCATCCAAACTTGATGTCAGACTACTACTTTGCAACCATGAATAGTCATATACATTTCCTCTTTTGGCAAACCCTAGAAGGGTTTGCCTGTACTTGGAAGACCTTCAAACTCTCTGAATAAAATTTTTCCCCTGCTTAGTATTGCTAGCTAATCTAACTAGGATGGAGAGAAGGCCCACTGCATCCCTCCACAGCTGGCAACCAAAGCAGCAAAAGAAGACACATCCTATACCTTTTGTAACTGTTGTCACTTGCACTCTATACTATAGTTCAGAGCTCCATCAACTCCCACAGCATTACATCTGCTATAACAGAATGACTGCTGGGTTCCCCCAAGTGCCAACAGTCTAAAGATCCAAATGAACCCCTAGATAATAAAACCTCCAAAGAATATGAAACGCCAGGCATGCTGCTGCTGTTACAGAAATATTGCTGTTTCCCCTTCACTTAGGAGAAAGACACTTGAACCTAAAAAACTCTCTTTTAAATCAAAGCAAGCTATGCAACAGGAGAACAGGGGGAAAAGCCAGTACGTAAACTGCCATCTTGCTATTTCAGATCCAAATTCTGTAAGTAAGCACAATATCCAAGTAATATTTGTCTTCATATGGGCTTTCAGATATGGGCTTCTATGCAAGCACTCAATGCACTACGTTTTTTCTCGTGGGTACCCTGTAAAAAAAAGTGTGCCTCACCATGCCACGTTTATGCAGATCAGGCGGTCCCCACACAACACTGCAACTGATACAGAGATTACGGGAGGCTGTAACCTCCTGCTTTCCACTCAGAAATAGCCCAGCTATTCAGGCTTTACAGTGAATGCCTTTCACTTGTAGTGAACAATAATTCAAAAAGGAGTTAATTACCTCATATACATTATGGCAATGTTGGTTTTAAATTTGCATTATTAATTTTAACTCTCTTTATATTTTTGTGGTTTGCTTTACAGTCTATACGTTAACTGTAGCACATGAAATATTGCCCTTCACCAAGTCCCATTAGCCTTGACAGAGCCAAGAATGGATAATTCTAGTGACAACCAACAGACTGCAAATTCAGCATTCTTGTTTTATCTCAGCCCAATTGAACAGAGACCAGGATTTAAGTAGTGGTAGCAGGTATTCTATATGAAATAACCTGGCTGTTTCAGTTAACCTGGAGCTCTAGTTCAGTTATCAGCAACTATATTTTTGGAAAAAGGTCAACAAGTGAATGGGAATGCAGAGTAAACTACCATAGCTCCCTCACCCTTTGTAGTGGTGTATCCAGGTAAAGGGTGAGACACACGGCTGGGGCTGGGGCTGGGGGATGTAGGATGGGGATTACTCTGCTGCCACCCATGTTCTGTGGATAAAAAAGTATTCCAGTCATTGCAGGTGTCAATTCAGTATCTTTTGCAATCCATAAAGTCTTTTTTTTTAATGAGTTATTACTTAAAGATTTTTTTAAAACATTGCTAATAATATTTTGTGAAAACTCCACTAATGGCATTATAAAAAGAGATTGTCTTATCCAGTCTGATAAACTTTGGTACACAGATATGAAAAGAATATTTTTCTCATACATCTTTTCCTCATGAATTAGTTTAAGGGGAACTTTTTTTTTCTTTTCTTTCAAGGCTTTATTTAAGAGATTTTGTGCTTCAAATCTATGTACTCTGTAGAGCACACTTGGACAACATAGCTTGCGTTCCAGATGCCCCTGTTACATTTTACACAATTAATGTGGCTGTAACTCTGTATTATACCAAATGGGTGAAAAAAGGAAGATGGAACATACTTACTTTTGTACTTTAAAAAATAAAAAAAAGGCCAACTCTCCCCTAATGTCAGTGAATCGGTGGGCTCTGGTGGCCGCTGTTCATGTGCTTATGTATCTGTCTGATGACTCCTGAAGGCCACCAAGGGAGTTAGGTAAGACTGAGGCCACATTCTGTCTGGCCATTTCTGCCATCTGACAAGATAGGAAAGGCAGGAGAAGCTCCCACATGTGAACGTGTAAGTTGCACCACGGCAGAATTTGTCCCTAATAAAGACATGGAATTTGGTATGACTGAAATGTTCTTTCTGGCATCTGCAAAACCCAAAATATAAATATTGTTTCTAAAATAAACAAACAGCATTTGGACTGATGGGTACAATTAGCCAGATTTCATGTGAAACAAAAGAAAAAATAGTGAGCATTAGGTCTTCAGGCTGTGAATAAATAAAGTAGGCCAAAATGCAAAAGTCTGTAATTGTTGCACTGAATCTTTTCTGGGAACAGACTTACTTTTCGCTAAATAAATAAACCTCACAGACCATTAAAATCTTTCCTTCCTTTGAGA